ACTACTTGCTAGCAGCTGAAGGAGAGATCTGTAGGAAATTTAATCTTACTAATTGCTGCCTATACATAGATAATCAAGGGCAAGTAGTTGAAGACATGGTTAGAGATATGACAAAACTGGCACACATGCCCGTGCAAGTGTGGCATAGATTTTACTCTTGGGCCATGTTTAGAAAATGGCTCCCAGCACTAGGAGGATTTAAAACTCTTTAATAAGAGTTATAATAGTAATAGAAGCCTACTTACTGCTCCCTTTGCTACCTGTACTTCTTCGAATGATAAAAAGCTTCATCGCTACCTTAGTTCATCATAATGCACAAATGTGCTATATGAATCACTATGGATCTGTCTTGCAAGAAGACATGGGTAGTGAAAATGAAAGTGAGAACTCCCACTAATAAAATGAGTGAGAGTCTCAAAAGAGGGGAATAAGGGAGGAGACCACCCCTCATATTGTCTTATGCCCAATTTCGGCCTCCAAAGAAAGAAGAAGTCAAAACTAAAAGGCAGAAATGAAATCCACAGCAGACAGCCCGGCGCCGCACCCTGGGCCTGGTAGTTAAAGAGGGACCCCTGACCTAATTGGTTCTGTTATCTATAGATTGCAGACATTGTATAGAAATGCACTGTGAAAATCCCTATCTTGTTTTGTTCTGATCTAATTACCAGTGCATGCATCCCAAAGTCACGTAGCCCCTGCTTGCTCAATCAATCTCGACCCTCTCACATGTACCCCCTTAAGAGTTGTGAGCCCTTAAAAGGGACAGGAATTGCTCACTCAGGGAGCCCGGCTCTTGAGACAGAAGTCTTGCCAATGCCCCAAGCCAAATAAACCCCTTCCTTCTTTAACTCGGTGTCTGAGGAGTTTTGTCTGCTCCTCGTCCTGCTACAGTGCCAGCGTCCCCACTTCCCAAGACAGGGTGGCTGGTGTAGGTGCCAAGGGGAACCCTTGGTCCTCTCAAATTTTGATGAAAAATTGCAAAAGGCTGGGTGTGGTGGCTCATGCCTGTAATCCCAGCACTTTGTGAGGCCAAGGCCGACAGATCACAAGGTCAGGAGGTGGAGGCCAACCTGGCCAACATAGTGACACGCCGTCTCTACTGAAAATACAAAAATTAGCCAGGCATAGTGCTGCATGCCTGTAGTCCCAGCTAGTCAGGAGGCTGAGGCAGGAGAATTGTTTGAACCCAGGAAACAGAGGCTATAGTGAGTCAAGATCGTGCCACTGCACTCCAGCCTCGGCAACAGAGCGAGACTCTGTCTGAAAGAAAAGGAAAAGAAAAGAAAAGAAAAAAGAAAAGAAAAGAAAAGAAAAGGAAGGAAGGAAGGAAGGAAGGAAAGGTTGCAAAAGGCAAATCAAATCAATTGGAGTAAAGGCAGACACATTTATTTACTGTGTCTACACAAACCTAAAGATATGGGGAAATCGTCCTTTTTTTTTTTTTTTGGAGACAGAGTCTCGCTCTATCACCCAGGCTGGAGTGCAGTGGCGCGATCTTGACTCACTGCAACCTCCGCCTCCCAGGTTCAAGTGATTCTCCTGCCTCAGCCTCCTGAGTAGCTGTACTACAGGCGCATGCCATCCCACCTGACTAAGTTTTTGTATTTTTAGTAGAGATGGGGTTTCACTGTGTTAGCCAAGATGGTCTCGATTTCCTGACCTCGTGATCCACCCACCTCAGCCTCCCAAAGTGCTGGGATTAGAGTCGTGAGCCACCATGCCTGGCCAAGATATGAGGGAAATCATCCATTTTTATGCTTAGGTTCCTCAAGGTATGGACAGCCATGCAGAAATAGAATTGGGCAAATAGGGTCGGATCTAATGAGAAGAGCCTGAGTGGGGACACCCAGCCAGGCCTGTCTGTGTAGATTCTTGTGGCCTCTCTGAGCAGTGCTCCTTCCTTCCTTCCTTCTCTCCTTCCATCCATCCAGGACCCTCTCTGGAGTGAGGTTCTTAAGATCTACAGTCTAACAAGGTAGGTCAGATCATTTCTTCATGGCCGGGTTTTACACAGAAAGGCAGAAAGAAAATTAGAGTCATATTTTTTAGATGTTATGGCTGGCTTTGGGTTCTGGTTTCCATGACTCCCCTTGGGGAAGAGGGATCCTAGTCTCTATGGCCAGATGGGAGAATGAGGGGCGAGAGACAGGAGGGCCAGAGAAGGTCAGGGAAAACATGTTGCTTCTGAGGCTGCTTAGGATGCTCTCATTTTGGGTCTTGTTTTCTGAGCCGCCTGGCCCTTCTCCATCCAGCCTCCCTCCTCTCTACCCTCCAGATTAGAGAGTGAGCCTGATGCCATTTGAGCACTCAGTTGGGTGGGGAAAGAGTACTCCTCCTCCCTCATCTGCCTTTTGAACTGTTTGGAAAATTGAAGGCTCTCACTTTCTGATCAGAGACAGGATCAGAGTGGGCAGTAGGTTTTTTTGTTTGTTTGTTTGTTTGTTTTTTCTCAGCATGACATCTCATAGACTCCACAAAGACAGAAGAACATTGACAAGTGTTGGATGTCTCTGGGCTCTTGAATTCCCATCGCATTAGCATCACCAACTAAATAAAACACCATTCTGCCACAAAACAGTGCTGGGTGCCAAACCATCATCTTCTCAGGATAGTATTTTCAACTGATTAATGTAAAATGTTTGGGAATTTCACTGGCAACCACAAAAGCATGTGAATATTTTCTCTAACAATGTGGTGAAGTCTTTTTTTTTTTTTTTTGTGAGACGGAGTCTCACTCTGTCCCCTAGGGGGTGCAGTGGCACAATCTCAGTTCACTGCAACTTCTGGCTCCTGGGCTCAAGCAATTCTCCTGTCTCAGCCTCCTGAGTAGCTGGGACTACAGGCGCCTGCCACCACGCCCAGCTAATTTTTGTATTTTTAGTAGAGACAGGGTTTCACCTTGTTGATCAGGCTGGTCTTGGACTCTTGACCTTAGGTGATGCATCTGCCTTGGCCTCCCAAAGTGCTGGGATTACAGGCATGAGCCAGGGCTCCTGGCCCGTCTTTTTTTTTTTTCTTTTTAAGGCAACAGAAACAACCAAAAAATGGACGACTAGAAGAGATGTAAATGATCCTAATTACAGGAAATTTTTGAGGCAGTCTGTCACCCAGGCTGGAGTACAGTGGCATGATCTCGGCTCACTGCAACCTCCGCCTCCCGGGTTCAAGCAATTCTCCTGACTCAGCCCCCCTAGTAGCTGAGACTATAGGCACACACCACCACGCCAGGCTAATTTTTGTATTTTTGGTAGAGATGGGGTTTCACCATGTTGGCCAGGCTGGTCTCAAACCCGTAACCTCATGTGATCCACCCGCCTCAGGCTACCAAAGTGCTGGGATTACAGTCGAGAGCCACCACACCCAGCCTTAATTACAGGAAATTTTAATCCCACATTTACCTTGTATATTTGATGTGTCTTTTGTTATATGTATTTTATGGCATTGCGGGTTACCCTATTTAAAATTCTAGTCTCACAAATCAGAGTATACAAAAGCGAATGTTGAAGAGGCCATAAGCTGTGTATTTAAAAGAAATATGGGAGATACAAGGATGTTTGGATAGGAAGATATGACTTGGGAAATCTCATGTCTGGCACATGGAAAAGGAATCTGAAGTAATTCATTTTCATTGCTCCTGAAAGGCAGAAATACAACTAAGAAACACAACTTCCTACGTGGTATGAAATCACTCTGCTCTTCTGCCTGAGAAAGTTGTCAGAATAGAAATAGAGTCACAAATGTTCACAAAACCCTGATGAATAGAATTGGAGAAGTCCTGAAGAGAAGATTGCCAGGCTTGCAGGCCTGATTGAAAAAAAAAAAAAGACTACAAAAACCACAGCCTTGCTCACAGGCCATCGCCAGGGTACACAAAAAAGACTTCTGCAAGGACATCTCCCCAGTAACCTCCTGTTTAACTTCGGACTGGTGTCACCCTTGTTATTGATATTTCTAACCACAGATAATTATTTCAAAACAATTAGGTAATTCTTCTTATTTTGTCCTCTAAAAACCTTTGTCTTCCTTTACCTCTCTGAATACGCACTTAGTGTTTACCATGGCACATGTATTCCCATTGCAATGCTTTATTCCCAAATACATTTCTTTTAGAGAGCTTGTCTCGGTTTATTTCAGTTGACACCAAATTTTCTATGTGTAAGTGAAAAAAAGGTAGGGGGGAATCATAAAGTGTCAAAATTGAGAGATGTCTTCCAGATGGTTCAGTCAGTCCCTGTGTCTTACTAAAGGAGACTAAGCATGTTAATACACACACACACACACACACACACACACTCCAACCTGCTGAAAATAAAGTCTCTTTTTAAACACTTTTGTCTACATTGTTCTGCTGTCTGAATTGCACTGGAGGACACCCAGCTGGTGTCCACTGGGGAATCTGCAGAGTTGCTTGCTTGGTGTGTGGGGAAACACACCTGCCAACATCTGGTGGCAGAAGGGTTGTGTTGAGTGGAGAGTTGGAAAAAACACATCCATTGATTTTTCCTGTATGTCTTGAGTTGCAGGGGATGGAAACGCCTTTCCTTTAAGCAAGGAAAGTAGGTTTAACTGTCCCCTTCCTCCTGGGTGGTCCCCCTACAGCCCCAGGCAATTGTCTCCTCAAGGCCCACTGGCCAGGTCGGGCTTCCATTAACAGCCACTCCAGGCCAGCAAATCAGAGCTCCCCTCCTCTAAATATCCAGGGTGGGTGTTGGGCCAGGCACTGATGACATTATCATGACCAGGGAAGGGCCTGAGGACCCAGTAGTCAGACCTCCCATCAGGGGCTGGACCAGCTCCGGCCAGAGAAAGAGGATGCATTTGAGCAGGGCCCAAGCCCAGAGCCACACACCAGCTAGGGGCCAAGGGATAAAAGGAAGGAAATGATGAAGGGGCTGATTAAAAAAAAAAAAAAAAAAAAGCCTACAAAAACCACAGCCTTGCACAGATGCCATCACCACCATAGACAAAAATGACGGACTGTGGTCACCTGCAGGGCCAGAGACAGCTCAGGTGGGCTGGGCTACCATCCATACCTCAACATCCAGGAGCCCTGGCCTCCCTCACTGCAACCCTCCACACAGGCAGAGATAACGTTCACAAAATTAACTGCTACACTTAAAGATGGTGAATATTAAGCTAACTGTATTATCCAATACTATGGATAGCCTTTGTATAATTTTTAAACCTTTCAACTTAAAAACTCATGTCAAAACCAATTACTCAATGTTTCACTTTAAATGCAGTTGTAATGGTAATCTTTTCAATATTTCAGATGTCAAAATTGCTCAAAAAATTAGGATTCTAAAAATCTAAATATACCTGTGAAAGGAAAATAAATCTTAGGGCCCCAAAGTCACTTGGCTAAAGAGAAAAGTCAAGCTGGGAACTGCTTAGGGCCAACCTGCCTCCCATTCTATTTAAAGTCACCCCTCTGCTCACTGAAATAGATGCATATCTGATTGCCTCCTTTGGAAAGCCCAAACAGAAACTCAAAAGAATGCAACTGTTTGTGTTTCACCTATTTGTGGCTAGGAAGGTCCCTTCCTGCTTTGAATCTTTCTGTCTTTGCTTCAGGTTTTCCTGCCTTTCCAGACTGACCCAATGTACTTACATATATTGATTGATGTCTCATGTCTCCCTAAAATGTAAAAAACCAAGCTGTGCTGTGACCTCCTTGGGCACTTGTCGTCAGAACTTCCTGAGGCTGTGTCATGGGTGCCTGTCCTCAACCTTGGCAAAATAAACTTTCTAAATTAACTGAGACCTGTCTCAAATTTTCAGAGTTCAAATACCTAAGGTATTTCTATTTTATTTACTTATTTAAGAGATGCATTCTCAGTGTCCTTTAGTTCAATTTAATCCTATGCCTACCAAAAGACAAAATTACAACAAATTTAGAGACATAATGGTTTTATTATTATTATTATTTTGAGACAGGGCTTTGCTCTTGCTCTGTTGTCCAGGCTAGAGTTCAATGGTGCAATCAGGGCTCACTGCAGCCTCCACCTCCCTGGCTCAAGCAATCCTCCCACCTCAGTCTCCCAAGTAGCAGAGACTACAGGTGTGTGCCATCAAGCCTGGCTAAGTTTTAAAATTTTTTGTAGAGAAGAGGTTTCACCATGTTGCCCAGGCTGGTCTCAAACTCCTGGGCTCCAGTGATCCTCCCACCTTAGCCTTCTAAAGTGCTGGGACTACAGGCATGAGCCACCATGCCTGGCCTAGAACTTAAGCTATTTCTCAACTGAAAGTAATCATAATAATAGGTATTATTATTATTATTCTCAGCCTTTGATTCACTATCTATAATTCTAAAGCAATTCCATAATCCTGACCCAATCAAATATGGTTTTCTCTCCCAGGGCCCTGAAGTGAATGAATGATAGTCTCTGTTCAGATCCCATCACTTGGTTCCCAGCTTGAACCGGGATGTTGACAAAAATATGGACTGGAGCACAAAAGGGCCTTGCTTGTCTTTTTTTTTTTGAGACGGAGTCTTGCTCAGTCACCCAGACTGGAGTGCGGTGGTGCGATCTCGGCTCACTGCAAGCTCCGCCTCCCGGGTTCTCGCCATTCTCCTGCCTCAGCCTCCCGAGTAGCTGGGACTACAGGCGCCCGCCACTACGCCCGGCTAGTTTTTTGTATTTTTAGTAGAGACGGGGTTTCACTGTGTTACACAGGATGGTCTCGATCTCCTAACCTCGTGATCCGCCCGTCTCGGCCTCCCAAAGTGCTGGGATTACAGGCTTGAGCCACCGCGCCCGGCCAAGGGCCTTGCTTGTCTTGCACACCCTTCAGACATAAGTTACAGCTCTGTGGTTTCTTCCATCTAAAACTTGCAACTTCCCTGTCTCAATTGGTTCAGGCCACCGTGAAAGGAAGATACTTTGGGCCCCTTCAGGCTGGGAACCTCTCAGGTCAAATCTACCTCAAGTTCTATTCAGTCATCCCTCTACTCACAGAGATAGATGCATATTGTGATTGCCTCTTGGGAAAGACTTATCAGAAACTCAGAAGAATCCAACCATCTCTCTCTCTCATCTACTTGTAACGTGGAAGCCCCCAGTACAGTGGGGGTTGGGGGGCCTTGCTTTGAGCTGTCTCTGCCTTTTTGGATGGAGCTAATGTACTTCTTACATATAGTAATTGATATCTCATGTCTCCCTAAAATGTATAAAACCAAGCTGTGTCCTGACCACCTTGGGCACACGTTGGCAGGACTTCCTGAGGCTGTGTCATGCACATGTCCTCAACCTTGGCAAAATAAACTTTCTAAATTAACTGAGACCTGTCTCAGATTTTCAGGGTTCACACGGCCATAACACTGCAGTAGAGAGACTAGGTGCCGTAAACCACAGAAGTTTACTTTCTCATGGTGCTGGAGGCTGGAGTCCAAGATCAAGGTGTGAACAAGGTCATTTCCCCCTGAGGCCTCTCTCCTGAGCCTGTAGATGCAGTCTCCCCACCGGTCCTCATAGGGCCATCCCTCCTTGTGAGTCTGTGCCCTAATCTCCCCTCCTTATGAGAACACCAGATCTATGGGATTAGGGCCTATCCAAAGGAACTCATTTACCTTTATTTCCTCTTTAATGGCTGTGTCTCCAAACACAGCCACATTCTGAGGTCCTGGGGGTGGGACTTCAACTTGTGAATTTCAAGGGACATAATTCACATTATAACAGCCCCCTACCCCAACAAGCAGGTGAGCACCAGTCAGGTTTCCTCCTGGCTCCTGTTTGAACTGGACTCGCTGGCCCTCTGGGGATACTTGGATTCTTGCACTGACTGAGGGTTTGTGTGCCTCTGAGGTCATTGTTGGCAACAGCCCTCTCTCCAGACATGGGACATCATAAGATGTGGGCTAGCTGGGCGCAGTGGCTCACGCCTGTAATCCCAGCACTTTGGGAGGCTGAGGGGGGCAGATCACCTGAAGTCGGGAGTTCGAGACAAGCCTGACCAACATGGAGAAACCCCATCTCTACTAAAAATACAAAATTAGTCGGGTGTGGTGGCACACGCCTGTAATCCCAGCTACTTGGGAGGCTGAGGCAAGAGACCTGGAAGGCAGAGGTTGCAGTGAGCCGAGATCATGCCATTGCACTCCAGCCTGGGCAACAAGAGCGAAACTCCGTCTCAAAAAAAAAAAAAAAAGATGTGGGCTAACTGCACAGACCTAGAAAGTAGGGGGCAGGGGCATCAAGGATCAGGATGTTACTGGTGTGTCATCAGCATTGCCCTGTTTCTGATCAACAGGGTGAACAGCTTAGGAGCCAAGGGAAAACTTCCCCTTTATCCTCCGAAGTTTTGTTGTAAAATCAACTGACAGAAGGCAGATTGCTACGAGGAGAGGCTTACACATCTATTAACGTGCATGGGGAGAATCACAGGGTGGTTACCTCACCATGCAATGAGGTGCAGAGTCCCTTATTCTCCTCTTAGGGGAAAGAGAGATAGGGAAGCGTGCATTATTTGAGGGGGATAGTAAATATTTTTTAGGGAAATTCAATGGGCTTGAAGAATGTACAATGGCCTGGGACAGTCTGTTGGTTTGTGACAAAGACGGCTTCTCCCAGGGCCAATTTTATAGCTAGAAAAAAATATTTACAGCTAGAAAAAAAAGGTCTGTCCAGGCGTGTTGACCGACTTCAGTCCTCATTCCTGTGATGAGAGTTCAGCCGTTGGAAACTCAGGGAAGGGATCAGAGGCCATTGTTTTCTGCTGCAGCAGGTCTGCACTTTAGGCAGATAGGGGAATTTCACAGAACAGCCTCATCCAGTGCTTTGGGAGAGACAGAAGTTTGGGAGACAGGAAGGAGGGGAAGGTCAGA